TTTTTTTTTTTTTTAAACCTCCTAAATCTTCTCTAGAATTGTGGTTTGCGTCCAGCCCCCAACTACAGGCACGAAATTATCACACTGAATTTGTAGCACGTTCATTTTGCTTGGTGTTCAGCGGCGGCACAGGACCCTCTCTCTGCAGTTTTCGTGTCACTGTCAGGACTCCGTAAGTTCACCTGCTAATACCTGCAAGGGATATAAATAAGCAAGAACACCATTTTCCAACTGATCCCAATATTTAAGACAAGAGAAGCATTATTAAAATGGAGAGAATGTTGAGGATGGTGAGGCCAGAGAGCTAGTCTTACCTATACGTAGGTGAAATGTCAGTCTCAAACAGTGAGTTTGCAAGCCTGTGAATACACAGAACAGATTGGTGGTTGCCCCGACGCAGGGGGTGGAGGTGAGGGCGAAATGCGTGAAGCGAGTTGAAAGGTACAAACTTCTAGTTATAAAATAATGAAGTCACGGGGATGTCATGTGCAGCAGGGCAACCATCGTTAATGATACTGTGTTGAGTATTTGAAACTTGCTGAGAGAGTAAGTCTTGAAACTTCTCATCACAAGGGAAAAGGGTTTCGCAACTACTATGCTCATGGATGTTAACAACACTTACTGTGATGAACAGTTTGCAATAAACGCAGATATGGAATTGTTATGTTGTACACCTGGAAAAAAATGTTGTGCTTCAATCACACCTCAAGAAAACAAAAGCAGGGCGGCGGGGGGGGGGGGGGGGGGGGGGGGGGGGGGGGGGGGGGAGTGGGTGGTGAAGAGCTTCTGACAACAATGGTGAACACCAAAAGCGATTCCAGGCAAAGGGTGGTTCTTCCATTCGGGCACCCAGTCATTTCTGTTTTCCTGGGACTACCCCAATCCAGGATAAAAATCCATCCCCTCCGAAACGAACATGCCTGAGAGTTCCAAATTCCACGGGCAAAGTTGCTTCTTTTATCCCGTAGATGTACACATCATCTACGCTGATACAAAAAATAAAAATACAGAAATAAGATGACCTCATATAATGGCAGTACTGAGAAGCGTTCAAGGAGAGGAACATGGCAGGGGATGACTAGTAACATGGTACATTACTTTAGATAAGGTGATCAAGCTTTCCCTGAAAGAATCGGAATGGAACCAGTCATAAAATGGGAGAAGGCAATTAGAAGGTAGTCCGAGGGAGGCATGATTCTCAACCCTGGCTGCCCATTAGATTTACCAGAGAAATTTTTAAAATGCCGATGCCTGAGCCACGTCCCAAATATTCTGATTTAATTGGACGCAGGTGGGACCCAAGCCGAGCGCTTCTAAAAAGATCCTCGGGTGATGCTGATGTGCAGCCAGGATCGATCGTCAGAGCTATCACACGCCATGGAGGAACTTCGTTTGTTTTCTAAGCACAATGGGAAGCCATCGGAAGGTTCTAAATGACATCATCATGCCTTATGCTTTTAAAACATTATGCTGGCTCTTACATAAGAATGGACTGTGGCAGGTGAGACATAGTGGAAAGAGGAACCTCAGGGAGGAGACTAGTAGGTAAAGTGAAAATGGGGAGAGATGAAAAGATGCTGGACCCATTTTGAATCAACAGGCGTTGCTCATGATTTCGCTGGGAACAGCCATGACCCAAGGGATGAAAGGCAAATATTCAAGGGCATTCAAATGCTGGGTTTAAGCAACCGAGTGGCTACAATTAATTCTTCGGGATAGGGAGACTGAAAGGAGGAAAGCACTGGGGAATGGGAGGCAGATTCAGGACATGTATCTTGGCCCTTCTGCTTCCCTTCCTGAGCAAGTAAACCCTGAGCCATTTCGTAGGACAGGGCAATTTAGGCATTTGCAAGGGGGGTGGGGGAGGCCATCCACACAGGGACCAGACTGGCAGGGCGTGTCAGAGCCCAGGCAGAACAAAGTACACATCCATGGGGACTGGGGGATCTGCAAGAAGGTGAAGAGAAGGGCATCCACGCCCAGGCCGTGGGGATGGGGAATGGTGAAATGATACGAGTTATCAGAGAGAGGATAGGCTGAGGAGAATCTCTGTGAGGGAGAAGGTGTGGTAATGGAGACAGATTATTTCCATACTGCGGAACTGATGAAATCGGTAACTATAATAATTTACTGGAATATTAATACTGGAAGCCAGGTTTCTTACTCTGGAAGGGAGTTACAAGAAAGGAGAAAAAACTAGAATGAACTCTGAGATGCCGGAACTGGAACTGAAGGCGCCCATGTGTACGCGTGCCTTCAAAAACAGGCAGAGAGGTCAAAATCAATGGCTGTGTTAACCTGTATTTATACACTCACGCCCGTTATCCCTAGCTCTGCTGACACCTACTAGCTTCTTACTTTTCTAACCCTGATACAGATGATCGCGAGCTCAGAAAAGAAGCTATGGAACTGGACTGGAGAGCAACCAGTCCAGGATGAAGCAGGAAGGCAGAAGATTCCATGACGAGCAAATCCAGGAAAATGAGTGGAGCTGCAGGATCATCTCGTTTGTCTGAACAGACGAGGAGGAGCTAAATACTTGTGTCAGGAAGTCTGGATCTGAAAAAGAAGCAGGTCCACAGAGCACCACGTAAAGAAGACACCTCTAGAGAAACATTATTCAAGACGGGAAATGCAATCAAAGGACATTCCACAGCATCCGCTGTTTCTCCTACATAGACCCAATCATCTAGATAATAACTTTTCAAAAGAAATTATATTGCATTTATACTGGGAGATCTCTCTTCGGCACAGACAGGTATATGCGTGGTTGGTGGGGAGTGTAAGAGAGTTAAATCCTTATCTTCCGTAAGAAGCAGTTACTAAACAAAAATGCAAAGGGAAATATCAAGTAACAGAAGCACGGTTCTTTGGAAATGAAAAAGCATATATACTACAAAAACTGGCCGAAAGAGTTGAAAGCGGAACCAGAAACCAAGAGGAGGTGTGACGGGACTGCTGTTTATCATTATAAACTTGCTAGAAACGGGCTGGCCTTTAAAATTATATGCATTTCTGACAAGGATAAAATTGAAAATTAAGGGTAAAACGTAAAGCTGATAAGCCCTGGTCAGCCAGGACTAGGCAAAGGCAAAATTATAGGGAAAGAAAACAGAACAAGGCTGAGGGTGGCGTTGATACAGAGGGACGCTGGCGAATTTGGGGGGACGGAGGGAGGGGGTGCAGATAGGA